AGCAGCAGAAGCGAGAGGAGGCGCTCCACGCCGCCAGCCTCCGAGTCCCCCGCCGCCCGCCATGGACCCCCCACATGTCCACCGACGAGCTTCATGACAGCGAAACACAGGCTTTTCTGATTTGGCGTCGCAGCTTAGCGAGGTTAGTTCTCTGCAATCTGATTGTTAGGGTTTAGGTTCTTCAATGAACGTGCGTTTAGGGACTAGCTTGACGATTGCCTATATGATTTTTGTCGTGTTTAATATGTCTGACATTAATTGAGGGACTAGTTTGACTGTTTGCTCGAGTAAAGGATTTGTGGATGGTTTTAGTTTATGTTGGTGGTGTGGTGGTGTTTCAGGCTTGAGGAGAATAAGAAGCTTGTACTTACTCCATTTGAGAAGAAACTTGACATTTGGAGACAGCTCTGGCGGGTTGTTGAGCGAAGTGATCTGGTAAGTTGGTTTCATACGGTCCTAGGGCAGCTACTAAGTGGGACATCTAATGTGACCACGTTACCTCCCTCCTTCTCTTTAGTTTTTCACGTTTTTTCTGTGTTTTTGCTTCTCCATATTCATGTTTTTCTCTCCAGTGACGTTTTGTTTGTTGGTTGTCTTTTGGACTGCATTTTTGTTTGAATGAATACAGCTTATTAGTTTCTTCTTCTTCTCCTTCTTCCTTGCATTTTCGTTTTCATTTCTGTTCAATGGAAAGCTAAAACCCCAGTGTTGGGCCCTTGGGCAGATTGCAACCCTCTGATGGAGGTTCTCTGTGTGTTGCATTTCTTCTCCGGTTGATTCTTCCTTGTGAGGTCTCTATTCTGAGGCGTTCAACATCTGAGTCATGCTTAATGATTCTGGGTTGTTTGCGTTCAGTATCTCAAGTTGCTTAATCCTGAGGAAGGAGGTCTGACAAGGTTCACGTCTGCTTAATTCGTGTAGTGAGGTCTCAGGTTAATCTTCGCTTAGTTAGTTAATCTGGACTGAACATGATTAAGTTCGGACAGATTATCTGTTGTGAACCGAGGATATCAGAGGTGCATTATGTTCAAGGGTCTGACCTATTTTAATTACTGTAATTAATTCATATCTCTCCTCTATTTTATTTAAATTTGATAATCTGCTCAAAACCCC